TTTAACTTTTTCTTATTTTCACATATAATAAAGTAGTCTTATAAATGTACAAAATGATACCAAAACAAAAAGTTTTGATCGTTTACTAACAGAGAAAAAATACTTTTTATGGATTTTTGGCTCAAATCTGCACTTTGATAGGAAGAATTTAAAAGCTAACAATGTTCTAGTTTGTTTGAAAAATCATACTTATTTGATATATTTTGAAAGTTTAGTCTCTCATTATTAATTTAACTTACATTTGAAAATTTCTCCAAGTCTTCGATTGTGTAAAAATTATAACTAAATTCATAAATCTATTATAATTTTGAGAGGCAGAAAAGAAGATATTTTCATACGCCACCATTTCGCCAAAAATATAGTCCCTGCAAGTTTTCAAACGCAATTTACCATTTCTATTTAAAGTTGTACATTTCTGATGAGGAAAGAAAAATATGGTCTTTTAAATTCCTTACACCTCAATATATAAGACATATAAGCAAATATACTTTGAATGTTTCATCTAGTCAGAAACCAGAGAAGAATCCTACCTTAACAAACGTGCACGCGGTAAATCTAGTCTCCCAGACTCCCGGCTCCCGACGGTCAGGGATTTTTTTTTTTAGCTCACCTGAGCCCAAGGCTCAAGTGAGCTTTTCTGATCACATTTTGTCCGTCGTCCGTCCGTCTGTCCGTCTGTAAACTTTTCACATTTTCGACTTCTTCTCAAGAACCACTGGGCCAATTTTGACCAAACTTGGTACAAAGCATTCTTGGGTAAAGGGAAATTTAAATTATTAAAACGAAGGGCCAAGTCCCCTCACAAGGGGAGATAATCAAGAAAAGACAAAAATAGGGTGGGGTCATTAAAAAATCTTCTTCTCAAGAACCACTGGGCCAGTAAGGCTGAAACTTATATGGAGGCACCCTGGGATAGTGTAGATTCTAAATTGTTCAAATCATGACCCCCGGGGTAGGGCGGGGCCAGAATGGGGAATCAAAGTTTTACATAGAAATATATAGGAAAAATCTTTAAAAATCTTCTTCTCAAGAACCACTGGGCCAGAAAAGCTAAAACTGATGTGGAAGCACCCTGGAGTGATGTAGATTCTAAATTGTTCAATTCATGACCCCCGGGGGTTGGGCGGGGCCACAAAGGTGAATCAAAGTTTTACATAGAAATATTTAGGAAAAATCTTTGAAAAACTTCTTTTCAAGAACCACTGGGCCAGAAAAGCTGAAACTGATGTGGAAGCACCCTGGGGTAGTGTAGATTCAAAATTGTTCAAATCATGACCCCCAGGGGTAGGGCGGGGCCACAATGGGACATCAATGTTTTACATAGAAATATATAGGAAAAATCTTTGAAAATCTTTTTCTCAAGAACCACTGGGCCAGAAAAGCTGAAACTGATTTGGAAGCACCCTGGGGTAGTGTAGATTCTAAATTGTTCAAATCATGACCCCAGGGGGTAGGGCAGGGCCACAATATGTATTACAAGGGGGAAATCTGGTAAAGAACAATATGACAAAAGATTCTCAGGTGAGCGATGTGGCCCATGGGCCTCTTGTTTTTATTTTTATTTTGTTTTTTTGTCGGCGCACAGAAACTCTTCAAACTTCTCAGGCACATTTTCTTTTTAAATTAATTCAATAATATGTAAAACCTTGAACAAGTTTTGCGTAATATTACTGAATCAGCAGTATCACCTTCAAAAAAGCGGTAAATGTAGTACTTCTTCATAAATATGAAAACCAAAAACGGACATCGATACAGAGAGACGTAAGGTGTCGTAGATGGAATGAGTATTTCAGTGAAAATTTGGTGGTGATAATAAAAAAAAATGAAAATTAAAATTCATAATATCAAAATTATTTGATTTCAAAAAAGATTTTTATCAAAATTTTCATAAATATAGCTAAATCTAACATTGTACTGATGGTAAAACCATGCAAAATGAAAGTATTTCATTGTTATACATTGACGTAGCATCGTTTTTGAAAGGAGGGGGTAACCATGTAGAGAGAAAAAAATCAATCTAGCTGAAAAAAGATTTTAAACATTGACAAGCAAAAACAAATAGGAAATCAAAATGAAATAGTCCAAACTCGAAAATCCTATATTTTGTGTGTGTGTGTGGGGGGGGGGGGGGGGGGGGTAGGTTCAACTTCTTTCAGTACCAATTTCTTTCCTAATATACATGTACTACATAATCCTTTTTTGACCTTACTCTTAAAATTAGGAAATGTTGCTACGTGCCTGTCATATAATATGTCACTGTAATGTAAAGTTATCATAATAGATTCTTGTAATATTTAAAGAATTGGCGAAAACCAATTTATGTAACCAAAAAAAAAAAAAAAAAAAAAAAAATTACGAAACGGCCTTCAGGAGAATGAGATATCTTTTTCATTTTATGTACATTCTTTTCTTTCATTTGAAATGTTTAAGATAAATTAACCCCCCCCCCAAAAAAAAAAAAATTAAAGGGGGATCCGAGGTAGAACCACGTCCATGTTGTAGAGCCTGGGAACATAAACATGATGTGGCAAAGACTTCTATACGAAAAAAAAAATGTGTGGGGAATTTTTCTGCATACAAATTATCTGGCATGTAAATGAGGGTTTTCATTTATTAAAAAAATATACCTCAGTTTTTTGTTTTTTTTTTAATCGTGATTCGAAGAAAACATCGGTATCCTTTTTTCAGTGGTTTTCGCGTTTACAGCTGAGTACTAGATTTACCGCTTGTTGGCAGATGGTACTGCTGATTCAGTAATAATTTGTTAAAGTTTTTATACCATTACATTTAATGAATTTTTTAAACCTAGAAATGTGCCTGAGAAGTTCGAAGAGTTTCTGTGCGCCGACAAAAAAGAAATCGGCAAAAAAAAAAAAAAAAAAAAAAAAATCCGGGACCGTCGGGAGCCGGGAAGACTAGATTTACCGCTTGCACGTTTGTTAACTTTTTTTTTCGTTTGTCGTGTTTTTATGTACGTTTGTACTGCAAAGATGATCGTTGGTTTTGCATTTACATATGCTTGTTACGTACGTGGTCGTTGGTTTTGATTTAATGTATATTTGTTCTGCGAAAAGGTCTGTTAATTATGCATTGTATATCATTTGTTAAGTTTTTATGGTCATTGAAATTAAAATATCTGTTTGTTTTCTCATTATGGTAAATTTATATGGTCCTTTTATTTTAAAATATGAAGAAAAACTTCATTTAACATGTGTTAGGCAATGGGCAGCCTTTTGTAGGCAACATGCTTTAAGAAATCGCATTTTATACGCAAAATGTCAGTTGTCTGTACATGTTAAGTTTTTCTAGTCCAGTGTCATTTTTCTTAACATGTAAGTTTATCAATAAAGTGCACCTAAAATGCTTAAATACAAGAGCGCGCACGTGCAACATGTAAAATGACCAATATAATTGATATAGCCGTAACTTTTCTATTTTCTGATGAAATGTGTTGAAACTCAGAATATAAGAATATATTAGTATTATAGACAAGAGGACATGGTCAAATTATTATGAACTCACGCGCATGCACGTGCGCTTCGCTCTGATTGGCTGAAACAAAAATCTCAATATCTGATTCGTTTTTTCACGAAATATTTTGAAATTTAAAACATAGTCATGCCTTAAGATATCCTTCGATATGATATAAAATAATTTTCATGAAATCACGCGCATGTACGTGCGCTGCCATCTGATTGGCTAAAACTTTAAATGCCTATAACTCCCTTTGTTCTCAGCCAAATAGGATGGGATTTAGAACATAGATAGTCTTAATGGACCCCTACAAGAGGGTATGGTCAACATACACATGTATGCACGTGCAATATGTATAAATACAAACGCACTTGATTTCGCGTATTTTCGAATACTTTTTGAACATCTTGATATTAAGTACATTTAACTAAATTAATAGTGTAGATACAATGATATGGTCATTCCGCATATGCATGCAAGTGTGCGCACGTGCAATGCAAAAATTTGCTATATACTTGGTATACTTTAGGAAGAACATTGTTTAAGTTTAAGATGCATAGAGTTTAGTTTATTTGATGAAGCTTAGAGGGAATGATCGAGGCACCAAAATGAAGTTGGGGAGCGTTTGGGGAACATCTGTAACGGTTCCCGTTACAATTAGCACTAGTTTTTAATGTGATGCAGTTGATGAACAAACTCATCTTCAGTTCTATAAATAAAAATCATAAAAATCAAAATTCAAAGTTTGCCCAGACTCGAAAATCCTATTTCGGGGGGGGGGGGGGCCCGGGGGTTAGTGGCCAACTTTTTCAAAGCCAACTTACTATCACTTCCAATTTTCCCCTACAATCCTTGATATCACTATATTATAGTAAAAAGGGGGGGGCAACCATCCTTTCAATGAACATTTACCATAGTAAAGGTTGGGGGAAAAAGTGGGGGGGGGGGGGAAGCCCCCCAAAAAAAGCCCCCCTGTTGCTACGTCCCTGGTGCTGTGTTATGCACAGTAATCAAATACCACTGATGTAGATTTAATGCCAATCAGTTCTACCGCCCGTAAAAACTATGAAGTTATGTTTTTCAACGGTGAAAGAAGTTAGCTGGCACAGATGCTCCCTACCCCCCGTTACAATATGGACCCATTTTTCTCATAAATTTCATTTGCTTGATACCCCGGTATATTTGAGATTAAATTTAAAATCATAAATTCGAAAACTTGCATGAAAAGAGAAGTCAGAAAGTCGGAAAAGCCCTAGGGTCTCTTGGGGTCAGCAGGTGTCTTAGTGGCTGTTCTCAGCGTGGTTAAGGACTCAAAGATTATGATCCGCCTCAAGATTTTCCTCCTGTTTACGACATTGAGTAATTGGCCGTTCTGTCTCTATTTTAATATCAGTTTAAAAAGAATTCGTTTCAAGGTTAAAAAAGCGAAATTAACTGTTATATGTTTGAAAAGTTTTGTTGATCTTAGAGCATAATGAGTCGATAGTCGCAAATCCGGATATTGGTTAACACACGAACTGCTTTTCGGCAAATTTTGACAAGTCACCAACTGCGATGGATGTTGGTGAAGTAAGGGTGGCAGAAGATGCCGATTTTAACAGACTTAAAAGTTTATGTGACGAAACTGAGGGATGGAAACAAGAATACAACAAAAATAACGTAAAAGTGTGGACTAAAAACAACGATAAATCGGATTTTAAGGTGGTGAAAGTAAGTACCTCATCGATTGGAACCGTATCTGTTGATCTGTCAGCTGTTTATTTATAGATATGCACAAAAACTACAGATAAATAGCAAGTCCTTTTAGTTGGTACTGGGGTCGTAATTTGTAAATATCTAATATATTATCTATGTTTTTTTTACATATCAATCGTTAATATTTTTTGACCAAATACCCAAACAACCAGTATAATAGTCTCCAAGAACCCACTCTACCTATTTAAAAAGAGGATGTCCTCTCCTGCCATTCCTTGGGGTCATAAACAAATATATATATTGACGGGTGGTTGGCCACATTTCATTGCCCATTGCTAAATAGCTCACCACTTGGCCACAGGTGAACCTGTGTAGTTTTCAGAGAGCCATGTTTATATCCAATGTTGGAACCCACAGTTGTCTTATTTTTTCTTCTCTGGATGTAAGAGAAAAGAGATTCACACATTGCCTATATACTTTTCGAATAATGGTTAACCCCCTTCTTCCATTCATCAACAGTCCTGCATTTACCAAACTAAACATGCTAAAGGGAAATGAATGTCATATAAATAATGACTTCCTTAAGCATTTGACATTTTGGAATATAAATTACCTGAAGTATTTGTTGTAACTTGTAGAAATTATCCACTTATTTTTGCGTTGAAGGAAATGTAAACTTAATTTTTCATACTATTATTTAAGGTGAGAACAGTCTTTGAAGATGTTAAACCAGAAGTATTATATGACGTGCTACACGATCCAGAATACAGAAAAACTTGGGACCATGCAATGCTGGAAGGCTATGAAATTTGTGTGATAAACCCAAACAATGACATTGGTTACTATGCAGGTGTGTTCTAGACTCCCAAATTATATGCATTTTTTATAGAAAAAGAAATTAATATGTAGATCACAAAATCCAGCACATTTTTTTCCCGAAAGGTATTTATTTTATTTTTTTGGGTATTAATTTTTTTCACAGTATACACTGTATCAGTAATGCAGAACTTAGTTAAATTTAGTGTTAAGCTTTGTGTTCAATATTAACACTGATATTAAAACTCTTTTAAATTTGTAGTAAAGTGCCCTCCTCCTCTAAAGAATCGAGATTTTGTCACTCAGCGATCATGGTTAGATCTAGGCCCAGAAAAATGTATAGTCAACCATTCTGTAAATCACAAGGTAAAAACTTGTGTTTTTTTTTATTGTAATAGCAAATGTCATTTCATTCACCATGTACTTGTACCATCGATCACATTTTAGTTTGATATGAACGTATCTTATAAATAACTTAAACATTTTTTGGTACAGAAAATACATTTATGTGAACTAAGCTAGGTGCAATACTTTATCAGTGTTTATGATAATTTGTGAATATAAACTATTTTTTGTCACAGAAAATGCCAATAAGAAAAGGTTTTATACGAGGTGTATCATATGTTACTGGGTATCTTGTACGACAACAGGGACCGAAGAAATGTCAGTTTACATATGTATCTCAGTCAGATCCTAGAGGTAAGCTGCTCGTTAAACTAATGAGGCATATAATGTATTCAAAAACCTATAGGTGAATGATCTTTCATTATATAATATTGTTTAGTAATAAACATGAATTATTTATTGCAAGGAAAGAGTGCTTCTGTTGTATGCTTTAGATTCCCCTTTAAAAAGATACACTTTATGACTTTTAAGATAACAGTACTGACAGCAAAATTGTTATAATTTTTTTCTCTTAATTAGGAAAACTTCCAGTCTGGGTTGTGAACAAAGGCACACAATATTTTGCTCCGAAGGTAATTTAGTTAATATATTTTTCTTCCATTGATATACAGAGGATTATTCATGATGAATATTTCTCATTTACTTGATTTATTTAATTTTAAAATTTTAGATAATATCAAAGATTTACAAAGCCTGTCAGAATTATGAGTCCTGGAAGTCTAAGCATAACCCTGGTCATAAACCATGGCTGTACCCGGAACAAATGTCACTACCTCGACTAGATATGAATGACATTGGTGCTGAGTGCGAATTCACATCCAACGAGTCATTAGATGAAAGCAATGTAAAAGAAGAGGATTTAGACAAAGATTATGAAGACAAGATATTCCGTAGTTAATATTGCTGTTAAGTTTGTCAGGGAGATGTTTAAAAAATTATCAGGTGAAAATTGAAAAGTTAAATGTTTTATTGAAATGCACTTCATGCACTTTTATGCAGTGATGAAAGATAGGTATACAGTCAATGCATACCATTCATGCCATTTATTTTTTATTTGTAAAATATCTTCCATGTAAAGTCAGAACATTGCCAAAATCGGTAACTTATTTATTTATTTGTTTGTGTTTTGACAATTTTTTCACTGCATTACCAGGCCTTAATGCCATAAAAATGTACCTGGAGCGGAATGGCTGTATTACACAGAGGTTGTAATTTAAGAATATGAATTATGATTAAAATAGTTATTTATATATTTATTTACAATTTAGCTTGCTAAAAGTATATTTAAAAAAAACTGAGATCTTTTTATATACTGTTTATTGATGCTATATCTTTATTAATGACATTTTATTTGACATAAACTTTAAGGAAAAAAACTCTTTTTAGAGTTGGAGGTTGTTTTTGTTCTGTCATCCAATATCTGACATTTCTGCTTAGCTTAAGTAATGCACAGTATATGGTGTTTGTGTCCTCAAATTACACTCTAAGGTTCAATAACCTTTTTAAATAAGTAAATTTAGTATAGTGTATATGGTTAGTGATATTTTAGGGGTGTCAAGAAGTTTATAAGAAATTTATTACTTGCACCATGATCTGAAAATCCACAGATGTCTCGCTTGTCTCTCAACCTAACTGACACAACTCAGAAATATGTTGTTATTAACAATTATTGTATTGTATTTGTTTGTACAGTGTATAAATGTGCCAAAAAAGTGAACTTTTCAAAGTATCTCTGAAAATTTTTAAGCTTCAGTGTCTCTCAGTGTTGCTGACATTCCAGTAATTCTTTTTAAAACATCAAATAAGTATTTTTCTGATTCTTATTCATGCAATCTGTCTCTTGTGAAATGATGATAGTGCTTTGTATGAGTGGGTTGGAAGAGGAAAAATGTTATAATTTATGTATTATTTTTTTTCTGCATGTCCAACAGTACTGTTTAAGGCCCAGAGTTGGAATTGCAATGCTTTTGCTCGGTTAGATTTTTGCTTTTTTATTTCTTCTTTATTTTATTTTTCATGGATGGGCATTATTTTTTTGTGTTCTTTGTAAGTTATTTATAATGTGACTTTAGAAACTGAGAAGTTTATGTATTGCTGCTATTGTAGTATAATTATCTCTTCAGTTGGAAATTTCTAAAAAGAATTTGTATCCTCTCAAATGCACAGCAAGCTTAAAGGATATAATTGTAACAAATACTTGTATTTGAAAAGATAGATATTCAGCTAATGATATGTTTTTTTTCTTTAGCTGATTATTTTCCATTCCAAAACTATAAAATACTTATATTTTAAAGTTTTGGAATAGAAAATATTCAGATTAAGAAAAAAATATTATGAACTTGTTTAAGCTTGCTGATTAGAAAACATTGCAATTTAGTGTCTGTGTTAAATTCTATTCTTGGGGTGCTCTGCCTTGTAAGTGTGAGATTATTGTAAATTGTGACATATCAGTCAATGCTTTCTTCTGAATGGAAAATTTGGTGCTTCAGTCCATAATATGCATAATATTAGATATGATAATGAAAAGCAAGATAGGGCCGACATACTATAATGCAGGACTGCCATGTATTCACACTAGTCCCTTGAGAGCCAATTTCTCTTCTGGTCTAGTGACTAGGATAATAATTTTTGCCATTTCAGATTTTCACCATAATCATACATGAAATGTTTGAAAGAAAAGCTTATTTCCAAATAATTCAAAAACAGGAGAAAAAAATAACGAAGTACATCTTGAGCACAATATCTATTGAAATGGGCTTGTAGATCTTACTATTTCATATTTTATACCATCGAGGCCTTAATTTTATGTAATTATTTCATGTGTGATTTTTGAAGGATATTTATTGTTTATTTATTTTACAAATATTATGTTTTACTTTAATTTAAGTTATGAGTTATAAATGAAAGTGTTCATTAATCAGATATCAGCAACACAGATAAATTCAAACATATTAATCTTTTTATCATCACTAAGAAACTAAATATTGTTAAGATTGTAAAAAGACATTCCAGTACTGATACTTGAGACTAAAACTTCAATTTTTTTCCTTTGTGTTCATTATTGATTTTCATGAAATATTTACTCTATACCTCTCTGTTGATAAAGTGTTCTCAAATCTGTGGACCAGATTATTATTGTATGAAGTTATATTTTTTCTCTTTTTATTACTAGTTGAAATTTGATGTAAGAACTAATAAAGAACATCATTAGAAATACATCTGTTTCTTTGTTTCCTAGATCAATTGTTTACAGTAATTAAAGAAGTAAGGAATTGAAAGTTACGGTACATGTACATAATCATCAATGTTTTACTTGATTATGCAAATATTTGCAACCTTAAGCAATTTTAACAAGGTTTTATAAGTGCATAGCTAGGATATGAAAGGAGGGTGTAGGGGATGGAATATTTTTCTTGACATCCACTGATATTGAAGGAGTTGCAGGATAATCTTCTGCTAAAAACAATAAACTTAACATACATTTACTCGAGCATGTCATCATTTGAACGATTTTTTTAATGAGTCAAGTATTGATAAACTAGTTGACGAAACAAAAATATCGAGAGTCTTGATTAAAGTCAACATTTCGTAAGTTCTATAGTCGATACAATGTTAGGCCATTACTTACACACTGAATTCCCAATGGATATTTACGTTTTTTGTTCCCATTCATGACAAGGACCTCGTGGCGGATGTGACCGGTCGACAGGGAATGCTTACTCCTCCATGGAGCCTGATCACATCTCTAATTTTTAAGAAGCGGGAAATTGCTCTGCTTCTCCTCGTAATTTCATTAGATATCACCCAAAACAGCAAGCTTATTTAAGGAAAAACAAAACTGAGCTGCTCTGGAAACATAACCGTCACAAAATGTGCCAATTTAAAAAAGTCTAAATATTCGACACATTTCCTTTTTTAATTTTAATTATCGGCGATTTATTTGATATTTAGGAGAAACTTTTACTGGACACTTTGCTCATTTTAAATGTCAATGGATATCAGAAAAAATTTAAACAAGAAGTTTTACAGTCTTATAAGAACATCTATGATATTTCTTGCAGCTACAGTAACACAAACTTATCGCTGTTATGGACGATGAACCTGAGAAAGGTGAACATAGTTTCAAGTTACTAAACATGTCTTTACATTGAAACTTGTTCCGTATGTTTAGCAGAGAAATATGAAGAATTTGATGTAGTGACACATTATTGGCGTTTATCCCCCAAAACTTTATTTTTGATCTGGTCTGGTTTGGTCTCTTTGTTGTTTAATAATCAATTCTATTCAGTGAGGAGAGGTTCCATTTGGACCCCGGAGACAGACATTATTGATGGTTGTAGGTCATTTTACACATACTGTACATAATTATTGGAAGTTTCAAATGTCATCAGGTGCATTAATATTGGAATTCCTGGATGTTATTCAGAAAGGACCCGATTTTGCATGCCTGGGTGTCATTCAATAGGTTTACACCATTAACAGGTCTGAAAGTCATATGCGTTTTTGCTATAACTAACAGACTCTCAATAAATATGCTAAATATATATTCATTCCTAGCATGTTCTGAACAGAGACACTTAATCTGTTTGTCTGGATCTCTCTCAAAATCGAGGATACTACTGGAGGATATTCAATGAATTAAAATGATATTGAACACTAATCAAATTCAAATCCATAAAAATAATATAAAATGTTTAGCGATCTTCAAGAGATGCAGCTTTAGGGTATATCTATCTGTCTGTACGTCAGATAAAAATAATAATGTTATGATATGCTTAGAAACCTAACAACATTAACACAAATCTGTCTGAACTTCAAGGTGCCTCAGCAGAAAAAGAAATGTGTTGAATGTAGTAATTCTGCATTAACGTATTAAAGAACTACGAACTCTAACTCTTAATTCCCGCCTATAGAATATCGACAGTCTCGTTTAAAGTCATCATTTCGTTACTTATGGTCGATACAAAGACCTTGTCAGCAAATACAATTTATCATCGAGTCAAATGCTGACTGACGTTTTCCATACTAATTGTTAGTCCATTATTTATACACTGAATTGACGACGGAATTTTCCGTAATTTCATGATCATGACAAGGAGCACACGGCGGGTTTGACCGGTCAGCAGGGAATGCTCACTCCTCCATGGCACCTGATCCCACCTCTGATGTTTTGGAGATCCGTGTTTGCTCTGCTCCTATTTTATATTGTTTTATGGGCTTTGATATTGAATACTGTTTGTTATCTTCACATCTTTCTGTTATCGTCGTGTTGTATCCTTACAATAAGCAAATGAACATTTATTTTCTCATTCAGAAATAACCGAAATCCTTCCGACAAATTGTTAAACAATTAACGTAGGATTTAGGCGTAATATATAAATATTTATTATTCCATTTAATGAACAAACAAGAAAATAAAGATCTTTGAACAATGAAAAAAATCAGGTCATTAGAATGAAAATGATATGACCTGTACAAGAATACAAGAAATCAATTAAAGTGAATTGACTCTGGATTCTGATTTTCAGAAGAAGCAACATGGCGGAGGACATCCTTCTTCGTTATTATCCCCAGTAAACTCCTGTAAGAGAAGAAAAAAATCATTAAATGTTGGCATTACACTGTAGGTAAATAGAGTTTACAAAAAAATATATTTCAAGAGCATGAGACAATAAACTCACGGGATTATGTACAGAGGTTACATCACTTTCGAAAAGTAGAACCGAGTGGAAATGTGATCCTAACATTCTAACACTAGTAAATATGATGATGTATAATTTCTGAAGTATTCTTTGCAGCTATAAATATTATAGCTTAAGTGGCATCCTTATCAGATAAAGAAATGGACCTACCCTTTGTGTGTAACCAGAGTTTGTCTGAGTCCAAGTTTTCTAAACATTTCTACAACTATTTCCATGGGAGTTTGGTCTGCAATTGTCACTGGGGACTAAAGAATGTAAAAAAAAAACCTTTTCATTATTTAAATTTTGGCTCTAGGACACAGCGCTTAGACACAAATGTAAGAAAAAGGTAACGGATAAGGATCAAGTTTATTAATCCATTAAGAAAATAGGATCCCTGAATAGTAAAATACACAGACTTCTGGAAACATCAGAGCTGGATAAGGTTTCTAGGAGGAGTAAAACGTACCTGTCATAAATATTTAATAAAGAAAAAAAAAATCTAAAACAGTGAGCTAAGTTTTGTCACCCTGAAGCTGATCTTCAGTTACTCCAGTTTTCGATTCGATTTTAACGCATTTCTTTGATTATACTGGAACAATAGCTGATATAGTTAAAATCCGTTATAATGCAAATGGTTGGTATGACAAACTTATATTAAATTTTATAAGAAATCTCACGGTGGATTAAAAAAAAATCTGTTTCAATTTATTTAATTGAATTTGTATGAACAAAACTCAAATATTCACTGTATTTTCTATTTACCAGATCTAAGATTTTTCTAAGTTTCAGTGGAGTAGGACTTGTAGGATTGTCAGGAACTCGACCTGTAGGATTGTCAGGAACTCGAGTTGTAAAGTACACAGTTGAATGACTCATAACGCCATCTTGCTTCTTCAGAGCATTAGCTGCAATACAAACGTTATCACTTTGGACATATACATGTAGTCAGCTGCAATACTTGTATTTAAGGATAATTATTACTAATATTATCAGTTTTCATATGAATTGCATCAAGTTCATGCATTTACCTTTTCGGTTTATTTATTAAATGTTTCAAATGTATTGTTATGATTAACAATGTAATAAGTGTCTGTATAAACTGTGGACGCCAACAGCACCGATTGAAAACCGCATGATAGCTGGATATATAGTTTGTTGGCATGGACAGGTAATATCAAAGATATAAATACAAAAAAGATGTGCTAATAACGGGGCGCAATCAGTACCCATGGGAATTCCAATAGATTGATGGAAGACCTTGTCTCCAAAAAAAAAAAACACACACACACACACACATATATATATATATATATATATATATATATATATATATATATATATATATATATATATATATAAAAACAATCAAAAAAAAAACATATATACCGGTATATTGTCAATCAGAAACTCAAGCACCTTTTTAATATCAATTTCAAAATACTCGTGTGTTCAATCAGAATATTTTGTTAACAAAATAATTTTTCACATGACCAATGACAAGGTATGTGAATTCACGATTTCCATTTTTACTGAAAAAGCAGCTGTCAATTTGATGTCAAAAAAGTAGGACTTAAATTCATCGTGGGAATAGTTGTATATAAAAAGTCGTAACTGTTTATTGATGTTGACTTTTGGTGAAATTTTGTGATTTAAAATTTTCGAAAAGTTCCTTGTTGCTTTTTAAGATACATTGTACATATTCAACTGAATATATTGTTGCACAGTACTCCTGAAGTTTATTTATCCTTCAACGCTATTAATATTTTTGTGAGGAGTAAAGAAAGAGGATAGATAGAACATTAACTGGAACCCGCTTTTTATCTTTCTTTGTTAAGATTTTTATGAAGTTTCAGAATACAAATATAGGTAGGGTAATTTTAATTCATTATGGTTGTTGGAAATATAAAAAATACTCAAAACTAACATTCGATTTGAATCATTTCCTCCTTAGAATTGGGAAATATTTGAATGAGAAGTACTTACATATCGCTAGGCTGAGATCCCGTCTCAGAACAAAGCCCAAGAGATACTGGGATTCCTGAGATACAACCACCGGGAACCCATTGTGAGACGTGGTACTTAACAAATGCTCTGTTAATAAACAATTGTATTAATGTATAAAATACGTAATAGTAGATAGTAATTAATCAAACATGAAAAATAAATTCATTTAAGTTTGTTATGGTTAACCATCTATTTATCATGCACATATTATTTGTTATGATGTTGTTCTCAGAGCAACTACGAAAACTAACATTAATTTTCATAAAGTAAGTATGTACAATATCTACTTAACGCTTACTTTTCATAAAAAGCAAAAAAACATACTGCACATTTCTGTATTTACTTACCCACTTCCGTCACAGTCATTGAATCTTGTGTTATTACGCTTAAAGGGGCGTCATTTTCACTGCAAGTCAATTATTTTACAATGTATTAAAAACAAATAATAACAAAGTTTTATACCCTAAGAGCTAAATGTCTTTTCTTTCTATATATATCTGTTCATAATAGCAATCTTTTTAGTGACCGTTGAGAGAAAGAGAGACAGAGAAAGATTTATGATCGCAGATAAGAGCTTCCAGGCAGCAAACAGAGAAGAACTTTTAAAATTTTTACATAATCATTTGCGAAAAAAATTGTAATGAGTGAAGGTTTCCCAGAATGCTAGAGGCAAATAGCAAGGGTATCATCAAAATGAAATAATAAGCTGAGCTGAAGTGTCTAGAAACTTGTTAATCATGTGACCCACAGGTATATTTTTACAGCTTCAATAGAGCACCGATGTTAATTTTAAGAGTAACCATATAGGTAGTTCATTGACTACCATATGATTGAAGGTTTGTCACATTTCTTAAGCTAGTTTTGTATTCCTTGATGTTTGCTAGTGCCTGTGAGCGCCTTTCTAAGGCTTTCAATGAGGTAAACACCTTACTTGAGCAAAATTATGTCTCTATCTTCATTTAGATATTCTATTTCTTTAAGTAAGAAAAAGGGCCATTTTTGCCACTTAAATAATATTTGCATGCAAATCACATTAGTCCTCATGGAATTGGAAATTGCTTTTTATCGAACCACAATCCTTTACCTTAGAACTAACTATATGTACATGTAGTTCTGATCGCTAAACAATATCACGGCTGGAATAGGTAGAAATAATGCAAAAATGTTGTTAAGAAAAAGTTCAAGTCCCAGTGCCCCTTAAAGTTCCTGTAGAGGGTTACAGAGTTGTTTGGACTGCCCACTAATTAGTAAAAACAGATATTTATATAACTTACACCACTGATCCGTATCTCGCACACCTAGAAAATATTCGCAACAAGATACGTATATAAAATAATTAATTACAAACAAAATCAGATACAATTTTGAAATGCCAGAGTAACTGATACAAATTGTAATCATACCTTGGTCTCATGACATCTGAAGCTTGTGTTGTGAGCGTGAACTCCTCTTTGCTGTCAAGGAAGGGGTAACCATTGAGTTGTATGTGGGCATCATATCTAATTCGTCAAGGAATGAAACATATGGAGATAACGAACAGTATTGAAAATAAAAAAATCCATAAAACAATATAAAATAGGAGCAGAGCAAATACGGACCTCCAAAACATCGGAGGTGGGATCAGGTGCCATGGAGGAGTGAGCATCCCCTGGCGACCGGTCACATACGTCGTGTGCTCCTCGTCATTATCGGGAGATAACGGAAAATCCTTCTTCAATTCAGTGTATAAATAATGGAATAACAATAACAATTAGTATGAAAACGTCAGTCAGCATTTGACTCAATGATAAATTGTATTTGCTGATCATTGTATCGACCACAAAACTCACGAAATGATGACTTTAAACGAGACAGCTGAAATTCTTGTCTCATCAACTTGTCAATAATTTAACTCGATTTAGAAATTGTACATACGTGGAGCATGCTCTTGCGTATCGAATCAACTGAGATATATAAACTCCGTGTGCAGGTGATAAAGGTATTGCTGCATATGTAAGAGAAGTTGACGATTGAAAAATTCAAGTCATCACGTTTATCATTGAGCTTGGTTGTTAGATTACCAATAACGTCTTTTACAAGTAAAATACTCAAATATGAAACAAATGTGTCAGACTCTGTGGTATCTTTTATCTCAAGCTCACTAGGATATAAGAAATGGAAATTACCATTGTTAATTGACAATACGTCGTCGATATATCTAAACGTCGAGTTAAAAGCCACAGCAAGTGTTTTTTTTTTCTTTTCAAGCATAAGATTAACGTCTTTTTCAAGTAAAATTCTCAAATATGAAACAAATGTGTCAGACTCTGTGGTATCTTTTATCTCAAGCTCACTAGGATATAGGAAATGGAAATTACCATTGTTAATTGACAATACGTCGTCGATATATCTAAACGTCGAGTTAAAAGCCACCGCAAGTGTTTTTTTTCTTTTCAAGCATAAGATTTTGCACAAATTCTGCTTCATATGAATACAAAAATAGGTCAACTAATAACTGAGCGCAAGTGGTACCCATGGGAATTCCAATAGATTGTTGGAAGACCTGGTCTCCAAAAACCACATAGATATTGTCCATCAGAAAAAGCATTTTTTTGATGTCAACTTCAGAGTACTTGTTTGTGCAATCAGAATGTGTTTTTACAAAATAATTTTGCATATGACCAATGACAAGGTAAGAAAATTTACAAGTTCCATTTTTATTGAAAATGCAGCTGTCATGATATAAAAAAACCTGGAATTTAATTTATCGTAGGGAATGGTTGTGTACAAATTAAGTCGAAAAATTGTAAATTTTTAAGCCGTTGATTTTGGTGAAATCTTGTGATTACAAATTGTCCAAAAGTTCCTCGCAGGAAAAGACACGCATACATCATAAGAAAGAGAAAAGAATATTGTGTTTAGTTTGCAAACAGCTGTCCAAAACTAATGTTATATTTCCTTAAATATAAATACAAGCATTATCTTTATATGCATACATAAAATATTTATCTCTGCAATAATTTTTACTATACATATTGAGGAAGACACGTACATTAACGCCAGAGGAAGGAAATTCTACAAACTTGCAGATTAGTGACAATGAAATTTGACCTTACGCCAGACTGTATTTGCAAACAAGGTCATAGGACCGAGCACAAAATTAGCCGACTTATTTAAAATTGGCTTAGTGGTTATTGAGAAGAAATTTTAAAATGTGAACGGTTTACAGATGGATGGACAGTGGACAGACAGGCAGACGGACGACAGACAAAAAGTGATCAGAGAGCTCAATTCAGATTTTAGCTCAGGCGTCCTTAAAAGGGTAAAGATAGCAAACAGTGATCAATCTCATAAAACCTTCAAACAAAACACATCTATGTACAGGTAATGTATGTTCATGTAACCCTGAAAATTCCTGATATGAGATCAGGTGCTTAGAAGGGGTAAGCATTTTCTGTTGACCGGACATACACGTCATAGGCCCTAAGCATAGATCAGGTAGACGAAACATTCCGTAGTCAAATTAAGTACACAACGAAGGTCTTTCAATTGTTTTGAAACAAGTCTGGCAAAATGGAACCCAGTGATAGATTCTATTCGCTAAGGTTATTAAAACGAAAACCTTATCAAATGCTTATACCAACATATGCATGCGTATGAGTAGTTTGCCTCAATTTAAAAATAGATCATACTCATAGCATGCTTTTGAGTAAAATACAATAAACCCTATATGAGGATGTTTAAGTAATTTTCTTGTCAATGGATACATTCCTTCCTTTCCGAAAGCATCTCCTACCCACTTGCTGGTCATGGTAGCAACCATGAGAAGGACAATATACTGAAGTCCTCCTGTCAACTCAAACATGATCACCACTAGGGACACTAAACAAACATTAAAAGTATTATAAGTTTCTGCAGCAAGACGCCGAAAACAGCATGGCAACTTTCGTGCATTATATACAGCATCATTTGAATGTGAATTGAAAACTTACAATTCAGGATAAATAAATAGAATGGGTAATAACGATCATTAAGTTTTATTTTACCTGTCATCCGAGTGACCCCCCCTAAGGCGGCTGCTGCCCCTACCATGGCATAAAGGCCAGGGTTTATTCTACAAAACTGTTTTGATTGGCACATATTTTCAAAGAATGGACTGTCATGGTTTGCACTGAAATAACATGATGTGAATTAACATACATGTATTTCTAAAGTGATATCTTGACATGGGTTTAAAAGACGTATGAAAGCAATGTAAAATAAGAAAAAGCAAGTATTGGATAAGGTACTTATCACTTACACTACAATTTGTTCCACACCTATCCCAACCATTCTGCCCATGATAGCACCGACGGCCATACTAGGAATGAACAGTCCAGCTGGAATCTATATGAATACGTTTATGTCTTATTTCTATTGCAGAACTAATACAGCATCCTAAATTTATCAAAAATTACTTATATAGTTAAGTCATTTACAGTCATAGTGACTTTTTCTGGTTAAAAAAACAACATATGATGAATCTTATATATTACATGCTGATACTATCTCATATATGCAAAATAAATTTTCTGTCAAGAAAATTAAATATCTACCTTTATTCCAAAGGTAAATATAGTGATAATTCCTTTAAAAATGAGGGCTAGGGCCAGCATCCATAGAGCCTTATGTACACCATCTCCGATCTCTGTACTGGATGTCAAGATTTTGATGGATGTCTCGTTCAGCATATATGACCTATAGTTTCTCTTGTAGTCACTGAAATAAACAGACATGTGGCACATTTTCATATTTCAAAACAATTACGAAATTCTGACATTAAGAATACTCAAAAATGCGCTTTATCATTATCGTTTTTGCAGTGCAGTGAATACATTAATAGATTGAATATGGATCCATACAAATAAACACAAAGAAAGACATACGAGTGGATCTTTTTCATACCTAATTTCAAATACAGAGTTGACAGAGACATTTTTCCTTATACAAAACTAAAGAACAGGATAATTCTACAATTCCAATTTCAGTTACTCCTACCAGAGATCTGTATCGTCCTCAGGTCCACATTGTTTTACCAATATTTTGATCAACTCGCTAGTGTTCATTCTTAAAATAAGAAAGATAATTCATGAGTAATGATATGAAAAAAAAAAAAATTATCAATGAACAATTAATTTTTCATTAAGTAGCAAACATTGTCCTATAAGATGTAGATAGATGTTATTGTCTATAGTTGAATTTGTTGCACGCTTTTCTATTTTATAATTTTGTATATGAAGAAAGAGCCAATAAAAAAAGTAACAAGCCCATCTATCTTTTCAAAAAGATAAGCTTGTGAAAAGAAAATGATTTTTTTAATCTCAAAACTTCTAAGATATTGACAGTAATGAAGGAAAAACTTCAAGAGTACTGTGCAACAATATATTCAAGAAGTGGTGTGAATCAGATGTGTATACTCAAAAATTCCAAAGAACTTTTGGACAATTTGAAATCACAATATTTTACCAAAATCAACAGCTTCAAAACTTACGACTTTTCAAAAACATTGATTGTTCACACAAGTACTCCAAAGTTGACTTCAAAAAGATGCTTGAGTTTCTGATTGACAATAACTATGTGGTTTTTGGAGACGAGGTCTTCCAATATTCTATTGGAATTCCCATGGGTACCAATTGCGCTCTGTTTTTAGCAGACCTATTTTTATATTCATATGAAGCAGAATTTATAAAAAATCTTGTGCGTGAAGAGAAGAAAAAACTTGCTATGGCCTTCAACTCGACATTTAGATACATAGACGACGTATTGTCAATTAACAATGGTGATTTTCATTCCTATGTCGATACGATACATCCTGGTGAACTTGAGATAAAAGATACCACAGAGTCTGACACATCTGTTTCATACTTGGATATATTACTTGAAAAAGACGTTAATGGTAATCTAACAACCAAGCTCTATGATAAATGTGATGACTTTTAACTTTTCTATAGTTAACTTTCCTTACTTATGCAGCAATATACCTTCGTCACCTGCATACGCAGTTTATATCTCTCAGTTGATTCGATGTGCAAGAGAATGATTTACCTATGAACAATTTCTAAAACAAGGTAAATTATTGAAAAACAATTTGATGAAACAAGACCATCAGCAGTCTCGTTTAAAGTCATCATTTCGTAAGTTCAATGGTCGATACAATAACCTTGTCAGCAAATGTAATTTATCAACAAGTCAAATGCAGACTGACGTTTTCCATACTTATTGTTAGTCCATTATTTATACACTGAATTAACGACGGATTTTTCCGTTATTTCCCGATAATGACAAGGAACACACGGCGGGTGTGACTGGTCGGGAGGGGATGATTACTCCTCCATGGCACCTGATCCCACCTCTGATATTTTGGAGGTCCCTTTTTGCTCTGCTCCTATTTTCTATAGTTTTATGGACTTTGATATTGAATAATGTTCGCTATCCCTATATCCTTCATTGTAAATGAGTATAAAAACCGTATTTTTGGAGGAAAAAAAGGTCAAAACTCGTTTATCGAACTATAAAGAATTAGAAAATAAGAAAGCTTTGAGAAATCACAGGATTGAAACGAGGTAAAAAAATATAGAGAAGGTTTACCTTTATTTCGCATTGACAAAATAATGGTATTCAAAAAATATCAATGTACCTACACGTACTGACGTACCTACACGTACTGACCTTGTGTATTGGTTAGGATAACTCAGAAGTGCTGTTATTATTGTGACAACAAATATCTATAAAATAAAACATATAAACTGTACATATTATCAATGAATCAGACATGATGCTATAAGTGTAAATCATTGGTTCCTGGAAGTTTCCCTGTACTGTCATACGGAAGAGGAACAAAGTTAAATATAGAACATATAAATGTACTAACCTCTACTATTGGATAATTTCCTAATTTTGAAGTTTTTCTGTACCTACACCAAGCTATATTAGCTTTTATGAAAAAAGTTCCGTACAAACCCTACAAAATCCAATAAGAAAATCCATAATATTAAGGTAAGTCACTCGTCAGCTTTTTAGAAAAGTTCACGCAGAAGCTTTTACTTCAAAACTACTTATTAGAATTCAATTTTTATAACATATTTAAATTCAACAATGTTATTTTTTTTACATTCAATGAAAAAACTGCTCAAAAGTCTACAAAGAAGCAAGATTTATGAGGGACTATTTCTTTTGGTGGAAGGATATTTAGCAGAAAATTCTGCAAATCTGCACTTTTATAAAATGTAATGTAATGGAAATTTAGCCTCACATATTTTTGCTCAGAGAATATTTTCCATTTTGATATTGCTAAATATATGTAATATAGGTCTTCATTTATATTTTTAGACTAAGTTTTACACCTTCCCTCAACAAACTTTTCCAAAAAATGAAAATATATTAAAGAAGTCAAGATCAAATTTACACCATTTTTTGCCTGAAAATCACATATTTTGACAAATATTTCAAAATTAACATCACTGACCCCACCTTTTTCTTTCATTATTTTAAACTACTCGATACTTGTGACTGATCAACACTTAAGTCGTAAAAAGTTAGATATAAGAAAAATTTTTATTGCCTATTAAGTTTTTTAATACCCCAAATATGTTATTTTTTAGTGCAAAAAGGTCACACAATAATTTACGCGCATTAATTTGCAAGGTTTGTTTAATGATAAATATTATTCAAACTATTTTATGTAAAATAAGATAATATTTATTGCCATGCTTACATCTGATCAAATATAATAAGGGTTAAAGTAATTAACCAAAGAGATGAAATTTAAGTGCAAAAAGGTCAACTTAAATGTACGTAGATCAGTAGGATGCACACTGACCCCCCATTTTCTTTGCAATTTTGAGTTACACTTTATGAGTACTTATCCAAAATATACTTCTCAAAAAATCCTTGATATAACAAATTTCAGGAGTGACTTACCTTAATAGAGATTCAAGGTACTTAATATACTTTAGTTGTGAGGAAGAAAAAAAATCATACATGTATTAATTTCAAACCTTACCCCCAATACACCGATGAGTATAAAAGGGATCAACTCTGGCATATACCATGGGTTATTGTACTCCACATAAAACATGACTAGACTGTCACTCCCAAAGGGATTGAATGACCTAAGAACAAAAGCTGCAGCCATAGCGCAGAAGAAAGACCGCCACAATGTCTTCAGAGGGAAGTAGTAGCTCACCTTTGTAAAAACATGTGGACAAATGGAGTAAGTCAAATAAAAAAACTGAATTTTTAATCATACATTTTCTCTTTCTCTTTTTGATTATGTGCTTGTGGGTGTAGGATAAACAGGTATGTTATGATTAACAGCAGTATATTATAAATTTAATATCTTTCAGTAAAATGTAAAAAAAAATTGAGGTAAGCGGGTATTGGAGTTACCTCCTCCAGGCTGAACAATATTCCTCCTATGGGAGCCCCGAAAGCTACACTGACCCCAGCGGCTGACGCAGCTGATAAAATCTAAAAAAAATATATAAAATGAAAATATATTCTTTATCAATTAATTGACGATATACATTTACAAGTTATTTCTTGATTCATAATTACATGTATCAGAATGCTACATGTATGATCTGGAGGACGGTGTAATTTTCCAGTGTATTTGTATATGTGTATTCAATTTAAATACAAACTTTCATCATCCAAATAAGTATATTGCACATTGAATTTGAAAACAAATTAGCATTTTGAATACTAGAATTGAAAGACAATTATAATGTACTAGTACGCATATCAAGTAATGAGTAGATATTCGTTTGTTTAAGCTCACTTCTCTCCTTTTAGCTTCATTAGAACCATACTTCGGAAACAGATAAGAGAAGAATTTTCCACAACAGCAAGCTACATGAACATATGGTCCTTCCTTTCCCAAGCTAAGTCCTGCTGACACTGCCAACATCATACCCACAGACTTTGTCAGGAGGGTCCACACCCCGAGGTAATTCCGAATGATGAATCCACTCAATATTGTCTTAATCTAAGGATAAAAGGAGGAAATTTAGGTTTACTTCATATATCATATGAAAATAACGAGTGAGACTGTGTACACTATTTAAACATTTTAATTATTTCTGACCTCAGGAATACCAGATCCACATGCATACGGAGCAAACACCTTCACGAACATGGCAGCTAGAATTCCGAAAATTATGGCCCAAATAACATAGAACACATATGTAGTGACATAGGACCCAGCTCCCGATTCAGTACCTCCAAAGATCTCAAACCATGTCTTCCACTGACAAAGTAATAGAGAATTGTTAAACATTAATAAGAGTTCCTTCTTGGTAACGTATGCTATTTTCATATTGTAGTTATGATTTTGCTGAATACAAATTATTATGAGTGATTTTTTTTAATTTTACAAAGATGGAAGAAGATGTTTGCCTGGTATGGATTTTTTTATTGGTTGTGGTCTGGTGATAGTACCTGATGACAGGAATCCCCGGCTCCTCTCTGGTTAGTGGACCAGCAGCACTGCTCTCTGTCCAACCAGAAAGCTTCGACACAGATTCCCTCCTTCAGATCTGACATCCATGTGGCACCGATGTCAATAATACCAGCACAAAGACCTGCATAAATTACAAGTATTAAACTAAATGTACAGTTCACTCTCATTTCTTAAATACCCTATATGAATTTATTTATACAGATATAAAAAAAATTCATAGGGTGAAATCTTCTTAAATTCAAACTTCCTTGCACTTGAAGCAGTGACTTTGCAGGAAGAAACAGGAAAAACTGTGCTCCGTGACTGGTAAAGATCTTATATGCTATTCTTTTAAAGATCCTTATTACAAAATAAGTAAATGGAAATAAATCTAAACTATTTTATAATTATCATAAGTGTTGTCGTACTATATCACTTCCAAACTACCTACCTCGCTGGCTGGCACTAAGCATTTATGAGGATACACAGGAATCAAAAGAAACCATTACAAAAAAGACAGTCAATATAACTCCGTGACTGGTAATATGCTATTCTTTTATGATCCTTATTACAAAATAATAAATGGAAAAAAATCTAAACTATTTTATAATCATCATAAGTGTTGTCGTATTATATCACTTCCAAACTACCTACCTCGCTGGCCTAAGCCAACCAATCAAAAAAGACAGAAAATATAACTCGAGAGAACACAGACCCAGCCTGACCAGGCATCGTGAGCACTCTTTATCTTTTCCCAGATTCCGTCGTGTTTCTTTTTGATGATGTTCCGATGCCGCATGCGATCTCTAGCAATGTCCCGCAGCCAATCAATGGTGTGGAAATCGTCATATTCACCTATTTCTTGGGGCAGATCATCCAGTGAATCCGACAAGTTAGAAGAACCTTAAATCAATACATTGTGTATTCATAAATTGTCAAATAATCTTCTTTTTGTCATCAATCTTGAAAGTTCCTAGTCAAGTTTACTTGTTACAAAAAAAAATCAAATCAGGAAAAATGCAAAAGCAATATAAACAAGTAATCCAAAACTTCAATATATGTAGATCTGAAAAATTAAAGACTAAAAATACCAGTAAGTAAAATTAAACTTACGTTTAAATTACTAGTTTTTGGATTTTTGACAGGGTCTGTATAGTATTTTTTTCAAATTTGAAGATCCACAATGGGAAATATTCATGACAATTTAAATCTCAAAAGAGTTTTAACTATACACAAACGTTGGCTTACAATCCCAAAAAATCGAAATCTTAAAAAAAAAATTCAGACAAAATAGTTTCTTCTTTTCTTTTTGAAAATAACATATAGTAAGCATATTATTAAATTCACATTTCTTTCCTGAATAGCTCTACACAAAATCTTTATTTTAATATTTTTACATTTACGATTATAATAGATGCATGAAATATATGGAGATAAAGAATAGTATTCAGGCTCAGAAGTCCATTCCAACAGTAAAATTCAGGAGCAGAGCTAACAAGGACCTCCCAAATATCATATACGTGGGTCAGGTGCCATGGAGGAGTGAGAATACCCTGTCTGGTGTTCCTTGACATAATTGGGAAAAACGGAAAACAAACGTAAATAATTCAATGAATTGAATTATGAACTAACAACAAGCATAAAAAGACCTATCAGTATTTGACTCTATGATAGGTTATATTTGCTAACAAGGTCATTTTATCAACCAAAAAACCTTGCGACATGATTACTTCATACATGTATGAGACTGTTAATATACTGTTTATATGCTAATAATGACAAAGGATCAAAGAACTTCGTTTTATAATCATGCATATTCTTATTTCATATCAGATCTACACATACTCAGTAAATTTATATGAGAAATGAAATACAAACCTTGCATCCTTAAACCAGAGAATTTTATGAAAAGAATTTCCTTGTATCATTTTCATTTTTACAACAGGAAACTAAAGTAAGCTGGTTAGAAATTTGTCCAGGAATAATACCGCTCTGGTTGTTGGTTATGTATACCACTATATATATAGAAATTTGAACATATCTATTAGAACGTTGCCAAATAAGTTAAATATAGAATAGCTATTTTTGAATTATAAATAGGAGATATGATCCAAAGAATCAAAATTTTAGCTTATTATGCAATAAAACTTGACTACAAAGAATCCATGGTGAATTATAGACATAAAAAATGTTCAGTCTTGAATGCCTCTTGGAAGAATTGGTGTACATGTAAGCCATAATGTTTTACCTTAAAGATATGACATCTACTAGTATTAGTCATCAGCATTTTTCAATATTTGTACGATTCATACACTTATAACTAAAGGCCTTTGAGGAAAAAATAGAAAATGTGGAAATTGACTGGAAAAAACCCCAACAAAATCACCAATAAAGATGGATGCAACTTGTAGGTAAATAATTTAACCAATAAAATCAGTTACTGAGGATAATGCAGAAAGTATTTTGATAGCTCCTTATTTCTAAAAAATTAAATAACTCATGTCTTAAAATTCTTATTATGTTAAGAAACTGTAAACCTTTTATAATGTTCAAAAGTCTACTTTTCAGCAAACACCCATATTAATGAAATTTTGAATGAAAAAATAAATTTACACGGTGAAACTTGTTCATTATTACTAATTACAACATTATTTAAGTTGTTATTTTCAATTTCATTGAAAAAACTGTGTTTATATCATCTGTCCTTAAAAAGATATCTGTCAAAAAAACCAACATCTTATTGGTTTCCTATAGCTGTAAGTGGTGCTTAAAGGTTGTTCTGTTTCATTGATAGATATTCACAACTGGTGGAAGAAAGAATAAATATTCAAAAAATAGTTTGATCTCTGAAGCTTTATAAAAACAAAATAATATGTTATCCCAATACCATTTATCCTTCGTTTTCACTTAATCTGGGATTAATATAAATAAAATAAATACTTCAAGTACGTGTGCTTGCAGCCTTGCACTTTATATTCATGTTAATTTGCTTGAGGTATTATGGCCTTTGTAAAAGACTAGTTGATCCTCTTTAAAAATGTAAGAATTTATTTGAATAGATAATTCTATTTTCTTATTATAACCACCTATCATCTTTAAATTTTTATACTAAAACTTTCTCACTATATTTTCCTTCTTCATCTGTACTCTGGTAGTAACTGCCCTGATCTAAGAAAATAAAATTGTACAATCTATTCAAAAAAAATCTATATAAAAAAAAGTCTTAAGTTCGACATTCAAACATTAGATATAACGATTTACCAATTAATAATGTACATTTTCATTGCTAATAAATTACATTTATCCCATTGAACTTGAAATTTAGACAGATGCTGACACACCCGTGTCTTATTTGGGTATTTACTGGAGAAAGACCTTGATGATAAATTAGCAATTAAATTTTATGATAAACATTGTGACTTTGAACAACTTTTCTATCGTAAACTTTCTTCGTAGCAATATATATACCATTATCTTCTTTATATGGAGTTTTATGTCTCCACTTGATTAGAATGACTGACAATGTTCTACATTGAAACAACTTTGACACATAAGTTGGTGTTCCACAAATATAAGCAGTCTCATTAAAAATCAACATGCAGAGTCTATGGTTATATAATATACGTAAGACAATTTCGTTGAGAAATACAATCCATCTTTAAGTCGACTGTTGAGTGCATATGTATTTTTCGTGCAATTTGTTAGGTCACTATTTTCATACTACTTTGTTACCATTACCAGACCATGACAGGGGAACATGGCGGGTGTGACTGCTCTACATGGATGCTTACTTTCCTATATGGCACCCGATCCAACTTTGATGTTTTAGAAGCCCATTTTTGCTCTGCTCATAGTCTGTCTGTTTATTTAGTAGACTAATGAGCTTGATTATAGTGTTCGCTATCTGCATATATCAAATCAGTGATACAAATACGATGAAACATATGGAGAAACGTACAGTATTCAAGATCAAAAGTCCTTAAAACAATTCAAAATAGAAGCAGTGCAAACACGGACCCCCAGAACATCAGAGTGGGATCAGGTGCCATGGAGGAGTGAGCATCCCCTGCAGACCGGTCACACCCACCTTGTGCTCCTTGTCATAATCGAGAAGTAACGGGAAATCCGTCATCAATTTAGTGTATAAATAATGGGCTAACAATTATGAAAAACGTCAGTCAGCATTTGACTCAATGATAATTGTATTCTCTGCACAAGCAAGGGAAGTTGACGATAGAAAAGTTAAAATCATCACGTTTATCATAGAGCTTTGTTGTTTGATTACCATTAACGTCTTTTTTAAGTAAAATATCCAAATATGGAACAGATGTGTCAGACTCTGTGGTTTCTTTTATCTCAAGCTCACCAGGATACACTGTATATCGCATCGCAAGAATGGAAAATACGTATAATAATAAACTCAACAATTTATTTCTTTTTTTGAAGACAGTCTTCAAAAGATATGAAATCAATGACATTTTTAACTGTGGCACATAAAGATAATAAAAAATTCAAAATATATTGAGAAAAAGTTCTGTTGAATTCTCATACATGTAAAATGTTTTGGTGCAAAATTGTTGAAAATTTAGATGTTTTTTTTTTCTAAAGCCGAGTAAAACTTTCTTAGATATATTTCAAACGGTCTTTATTTCGAAAGCAAATATTGAGTTTATTTAAAAAAAAAAAAAATGTTCCCACATGAAAGTTATACTTACCAGCAATTTTGTCAATACTGATGCTGGATGTCTCATCAAGCAAATCTGATTTGTGTTCAGCTACAGAATTAAAGACATTACTGAGAACATTAGCAAACCGTGACAAGCTGGACAGGTCAGTCTTAATTTTCTGCTGCTGGTCAGTGGACGACATCAGAACTAGTCGTGTGGGTCCACACTGAGGGATAAACGATCGCAGGACCACGATACCTCGCTATTACAAGTATGACGCGTCATTTGCACTTTACTGTCCAGTCGGAGATACTTAAAACATTTTTAAAAGTTCTGTTAATCTTACAAAAGGGTATCAAGTATATGCTTCTACATCTTCCCATACTATCCATGAGTATTATACTATCTACAATTTATATGTACATGTATTTAATCAATAATATTATAGGTTCTGCCGAAAACCACAAAAATATTAATTTTAATTGAAGATTTCTTTAAAATAACTTTTTTTCATTTTTATAATGAAAGTGATCGTATTACAATTAAACTTGTATTTTTTTAGGAAACGTATTAACTTGTATTTTTTTAGTATTACGATTTACTTTATTTCCCTCTAGATAAGAAACGTTTCTATCATTTTCCTTTATCTATGAGCACATAATTCAAAAGTATAAAAAGCGTTGTTGCCTTTAATTTTTTATTTTCGCCTCTCCGTTATAATTTTTTTATATGTCTTCTCCGACATCCAAAATGGTTATTCACGTTGCAGAAATTAAAATTTCCTATCATATAACTTGATTCTTAAAAAGGATGAAGCACGAATTTATTTTTGTATCAATATATCCTTCCATTTCTTTTTGGGGAGGGGGTGATTAACACTGTCTGGGACATTCCTGTTTAAAACCCTGTAATATATTATTGCTAGTATATAGCATGCAAAACGTTGAAATATTACAAAAGTCTCGTTATATTTTGATTATCATTGAAAACTTGCTATTCATATTCTAACGTTTTGATAACCTTATACCAGGTACATTAATTAATCTTTTTCATATATGTTGATCAATATGCAAAATTTTACAATTTATTATGAAAAAAAAAGATATTCATTCTAAAAAAAATCATAAAGATAAATTTCAATAAAAAGTTAAAAGATATTCATTTTTAAAAAAACTGTAAAGATAAATTTGAATAAAAAGTTGATACAATTTTAAAATAAAAATTAATTTCAATTCCAAGGCTAATTTATCCCAGGTTCTACATGTATACAATGTAAAAAATGATTTCTTTTCTTTCTTCATTCCTTTATTTTGGGAGAAGGGCATAGAACTGATATAAGGACACAGTATTCTAGAAAAACCAGTTCTTTCAATTTACATATTAATTACATGTTAAACAATTGTAATCTATTTTGAGGTTCATATTAATCAACAAGTTTTCTAGGCCCATACGATTGAATAACTAGTAAAATGTGCCTAAATATTTTTCAAAACACAGAAAAAGACTTAATACAGCTTCTTTATTTGATCATTTTACAATGCAACGCATTTATAAAGTATATATAGATTATATATATTAATATTTAATAATAATAAAGTAACATCTATTACCCGATTTTTTTACCTTGTATAAATAAATTTCTTGGTTACACATGGATTCATATTTATCAATGGTAATTTTTGTTCTTTCTTCAGAAAAACACTTTATCAAATCAAATTTTCTTAGAAGTCAGCCACATTACTGTCATTTTTGGCATCTGGCAGTGCTTCATTTATAGCAGATTAGAAGACTCCCAGAAGGTAAAGTTCTTGTTTTCCAGTTCATAAACTTAGATGAACTGTCAGTTTCTCAAAGAATGGTCAATATGAATGATAATATCTAGTTATCTACCGAGATAATGGTAGTTTACATTTGTCTCATGTTTAAAAGCATCACAGTGTCTTTGTAATCAAAGAAAACAATGGGGAAGCTGTACGTACATTGTTCTTTCTATAAGTTCATCACATTAATGCATTAAATATTCAACAAAACAATACACTCTCTTAGAGATACACCATGAAATGAAAGAAATGCTTAAAAGTAAAATATCACATAATCTAGTTCATATTAAAAATAAATATACTGAATACAAACATTCACTATGTCAAATATTTATCAATTTATACAGAATTGCACACAATGTTCTAGTGAAATGTACTATCAACAACATGATAAAACAATACTCAATTTTGGATACACACACTCATAGGCACCTCTCAACTTACACTAAATCAATGTTTGAGACTTATTCATCACACACATTGAACCATGACACACTTGTTAATCAGTGGAATACAGATAATTTATCTGCTATGAGACAATAACAAGGAATGAACTAATTAAAGAGAATAGACTCTGGGTCCTGATTTTCTAAATGAGCAATATGGCGTAGAACATCTTTTTTTGTAATAATTCCAAGTAATCTCCTGTAAGTGGAAAGAAAATAGTTTGCTTTTCTATGTGAATCATTTCATTCAAGAGAATTACTGCATTAAAAAACAACTTAATCTACTCTTCTAGCAATTTAATCTTTTCAATGCTTTTCAAAAACATGAATTATGGCCAGGGCAAATTTGGTTTATCAGAAAAGGTGAAAAAGCACTTGGGTTCTTTTAGACTCTTTTAAAGAATGAAACAAAATCTATTTCATAAAGCGCACTAAAAATGTTCTTCTGTTGACATCCAGCACATAGCTGTAGAATTTATAAAATGATTTCCGTATCACTTGGAGAATCATAGACCTACCCTTTGTGTGTGACCAGAGTTTGTCTGAGTCCAAGTTTTCTGAACATTTCTACAACCATCTCCATAGGAGTTTGATCTGTTATTGTTACTGGGGCCTAAAAAAACAATTTAATAGAAGAAACAAATTTTAAAAAGTTATGTATCTTAAGCTTCTAAAATGATTGTTTTGTACATTTCATTAATTATTTAGCAAGCCTATATGAAAAGTATAATTAGTTTTAACAGTAATAATACAAGACTTCAGTTTTTTCCTTAAATCAATCCTCATAGTCGTTACAGTTTGTACACAAATGCAGCCAAAATTCACTGGAAGAGTTACTTACCATATCTATGATTTTCCTCAGTTTTAAAGGAGCGGGGTCATTAGGATTATCAGGAACTTGATTGGTGAAGTAAACAACTGAATTGTAAACAACTCCATCCTGCAGCTTCAGAGCATTGGCTGTGAAGAGAATTCATTGTAATATAAGAGTTCTTTTCAAAAGATAAAGCTGTCATTTACTTAAAAGACAGGTATCTTGGTTAAATTCAGCACGAAAGTTCATCCATATCAAATACATGTTTGAATATTGAAACTCACAAATTGCAAGACTAAGGTCCCTCCTGAGAACAAAGCCCACGAGATACTGAGATTCATGAGATACAACCACCGGGAACCCATTGTGTGATGCCGTCTTAAGAACATGCTCTGAAAAAACAATAATAACCTTGGTAAAATTTGCAAGCAAATACTTTTATTTTCTAAATATCATGGATGCTGTCTAAATAAGCTTACAATTTCACTTGAATGCTTAGTGTATACACAGTTGTAGCTTTTTTATTCATGCAAACAATCATCATTTGAAATACTTTATCAAAGGTGCATGAAAGTTCGATTTATATACATGTAAATCACGAGATCGTATAACAGCAGCAAATTACACTGGAATGCTTTATTACACATGGCTTTATTTTTTAAATTCAAATAATTCCTCTTTTGTTTCTTTTTCTACAACTAAAGTATAAAATGTGAAGAATTTTAGTGAAGAAATATTGAAGCTTAAAATAACTGATTAAGACTGTGAGTTGTTTTCCACCTACCCACTTCTTCCACAGTCATTGAGTCCTGTGTTATCACACTCAGTGGCGGATCATTTCTCCTGTAATACAATCAGTGTTCATAATGAAGAAAAATACAAATGTTTTAATTTAATTTCCATCAAAACATTAACTTTCTTTGTTCTATGTCAAGAGTAGCATTATCTGGATATCAAGAAAAAATAAAAGTATTTACTATGTTGGTGGCAGATTCTTAATAATTATGCATTCTGTTTTAAAACACAGCAGTTTAGATGTTACTCACTTAAAACACTACATATCCAAAACTGTTAGCATCAAATCAAACTTTATTAGTTCAAAATTTAGTGTGTTACCCTAGATCATTTTATATATGAGACAAGATAAATCACAAATTTTTAGAGTTGTCCTTGAAAAATGAAAAAAATAATAATTAATATTTCCTTTTTTAGAGAAGGGGAGGGGGATCGAGTCACTAGCATTATAAAGTTTAGAATTGGTATGTATTATTATCAGAATTTTTTTTTGAAAACTACGATAAGCATTTAAAATACAGTTTATCTTATTAATAATTTCATTTTGTTTGTAAATTACCATTTGACTGGCTAAAAATACGAGGGTTGTTAGAAAAGTTTGCGGACACATTGAATTACGGAAAATCTATTGTGTACTGTGAAGTATGACCTATGTCTGAATAAATTCCTACATTTTGTTTATTTGTATGTAAAAAAAGGTCCATTTACTAAAATGAAAATTTACAACGATTTTTACTATGATGTCATAGGATTCACGGAGCAATCCCTTGACGTAAGGCGACGTGACAACCAGATTTCGATCCGTTATGCTTTGTCGCAGTTCTATAAATCTTTCCTTTCTTCAGATTTTTCTTATCTTTTTTCTACTTTAATACATGTATTGAACATCTATATCAAGACATGTTACCTTTCTACTATAATGTCTTTTGTACTTATTCAGATTGTATTGATTCGGATATTTTTGAGATCTTTAAAAACGTCTATGCAGTAAATTGATCAGGTTTGAAAACTACAAAACCATATAGGCACAACGTTCATGCGATAAGAGGGTATTGAAGTATCGATGGAGTTAATCATTCAAAATGTTAATCCTTCCATTTATATGAAGTCACAATCATTTGAAAACTTTTGTCCTTTGTGTGTGTAGGAAATTTCCGGCAGCATCTTGAAAATTTCAATCTCTTTTTAGACATTTTACTGTCTACACATATAATTTTTACGTAGTGCAGTGCTCCATGACGCTCAATGACGTTCCGATTTTGGCTGTGTTTTTACGTGTTGATGATTTATAATTGGCTATAACACAGTCATATACCCTCCAATTTAATTCAAAATTTCTCCAAGTGACGTTTCATGAAAACTTTAGCGATAGGTAAAATATCATAAATCTCTTTGCGCTACAATTGTGCAATTTTTAATTTTAACAGAGTCTTTGTAATGTAAACGTGCCAAAATGAAGCATGCTCCGTGGAACAAGATGTATCGAAATAAAAAAGCCGTATATTTTTCAATGATCAGCGGAGAGCACCAATTTTTTGTATATTTATTGAAAATATGTTAAGTAAAGTTTGACCGGTTTCGTGGAAATAGCGCGCTCACAATAGAACTTGTCCGCGAACTTTTCTAACACCCCTCGTACATGCATGATATTTTTTAAATTTCATAATCTTTATTGCTTACTGTTTCAAAGAGCCAAAACAAGTCTGCCTATAATAAACATAACACTGATTAAGCCTACTGGACTAACATATGTCACTTTGAATAGTTTTACAATGCATGCCTTAACACAGTAATCTATGCTGCAGCATACAGAGCAAGTGTACTATTCCTTGGTGGCTTCTTTGAAAGCAAAAGCATTTAATTTATAATGCCACTCAAAAGTTCTTGCACTGAATAGCTTTTTAAAGCATAGTCTTGACTAACTTGAATGACTAACAAATTCCATATCACTTTAACGGAAATCACATTATGGTAGATGGCAAATTAAAAAAAAAATCAAAATTTACTTTAGGATAGAAAAATACTTCAACTGAGGGCACCATAAAACAGAGCATCCCCTTGCAAAAAGACACATCCATCTGAATGTGAATTATTAATTCACTGGTTATGCATACACTCACTCACTCACATACCTGCTCACACACTGTGTCAAAACTGCATTACTATAACCCCTCCAACTTTGTTGCAAGGGGATGAGAATTGATACTAATCATTCATTAATTTTTTTCTTTAAAATTAAAATGGACAGAAGCCAAATCTATACACTATTTTTATGCAATAATATAAAATAATCTTCAAAATTGTAATGAAAATATTTTAAAGTTCATGCTTCATGCAAAAAATATACATTATTTTTACATCTCCTCAAATACTGAAATAAAATGAAACGAAGAACTGATTACATTTGTACAATAAGTGTAGAGCACTATAAAATATAAAATATTTTTGAACACTTAAGTATCCACAAATTATTTTGGAAGTGCTATGTTATAGATGCTTTAAAAAAACTACATTCCAGCAAAACAATGGACACATAACTTACACTACCGATCCATAGCGCGCAGATCTTGTAAAACATTAGACAACAAATTATGAATCATTGCAACAAAAACAAAAGTCGGCCAGTCATTCAAAAAGTCAAAGTGCTACAGATACACTGACAGTTGTATACAGTTAAATACTTAAAACAAACATATATCTGCCATACCTTGGTCTCATGACATCAGAAGCAAGAGTAGTGTGTGTAAACTCCTCTTTGCTGTCAAGGAAGGGGTAACCATTGAGTTGTATGTGAGCATCATATCTGTATTAGTCAAGGAAAGTTAACAACTACACTGTTTTGTCTCCACTGTACATCTATTGCTGTCAGAATCTGAAAATATTCTCAACTATTCCAATATTTTGTTTTAGAGAAAAGCTACTGTAAACCAACTTTTATTCACGAAGACTTTATTTCGTGATTTACCAGGGGTATACTAGTTCGCAACAATTAATTTTTGCGATCAAGCTTTTTTGGATCTGTTGTTAAAAGACACATACACTTTATGGACCGGTACGCGGCGAGAAATATTCGCGATGACGAGGCTCTTGCAAACGTCATGAAAATTTCTTGCACGCGAATAAAAGTTGGTTTACCATATTCATTTAGAAATGTACTTTGTGAAGCATGTTTAAGGGTTTTGACATATGGTAATTTTTTTCTTGTAATATAAAGGATACATTCCTTCTTTTCCTAGGGCATCTCCTACCCACTTGCTAGTCATGGTGGCAACCATGAGAGGGACGATGTACTGCAGTCCTCCTGTCAACTCAAACATGATCACCACCAAGGACACTGAAAGACAAACCAATGACTGGGATTAAATCCTGAATAGGTACATAGTTTATAGCAGTAGCTCTTGATTCATTTTTAAGATAAGTCTAGCCCAGAAAATTATACAGTTGGCTAACTTAGTCACTGCCAGCTTGCACTCTGACCTTCATCTATTTCACCATTAAGATTCAAGTATAAATACATGTAACAGTTGAACAGAAAGAACACTGTTTAAATGAATCTAAAAATAATTTTTTGAAGATACCCTATAATATCAGAGAGAGTGCTACATGTACCCACCTGTCATGCGAGTGACTCCCCCCAGGGCAGCTGCTGCCCCCACCATGGCATACAGACCGGGGGTAATCCTACAAAACTGTTTGGACTCACACATGTTCTCAAAGAACGGATTGTCATGGTTTGCACTGAAATGAACATTTCAACAGAACTGCGAGTATGCAATAATGGTTTAATATACATGTATTTTTTTTTTTATAGTAGTAGACAAAACTTTTAATCCCTTCATAGTCAGAAATGTCAGGGTTTTTTTTACCAAACATTTGATCTAGAAATGTTAATCTGCATGTTTTAGTTAACTGAATGAAGCTTAGATTAATTAACTTACAGAAGATTAGATGTTTTAATTATCATATCTTACAGTAGCTTAGATGTTATAAGTAAATTACACTAGCTTAAATGTTTAGTTAACTTACACCACAATTTGTTCAAAACCTATTCCAATCATTCTTCCTAAGATTGCACCTACAGCCATGCTAGGTATGAAGAGTCCAGATGGAATCTACAATAGTTTGTTACATGATTCATCTCAAATGTCAACTATATGTTTCCCAAATTAAAATTTCAAGAAGTAAGATTTGAAGAATTCCTTTGATATATCTAACCTTTTCTTTCCTTTACTAAAAAGATTTTCTGCCAAAAACATAATGTTTTTCATGAAAATAAAAGTATTTCATCTACGGAAATACATGTAGAAGTCTTTTAAAGATCATTACCTTAATTCCAAAAGTAAAGATAGTGATAATTCCCTTAAAAATGAGGGCCAGGGCTAACATCCACAGGGCCTTCTCTACACCATCACCAATCTCCGTACTAGAGGTCATCGTTTTTAATGAGGTCTCATTCAGCTGGTGTGAACTATAATTTCTCTTGTAGTCACTGAAATAAATATACTCACAATCATTATGCATAAAAGTTGTCATTATTTAGACAAATACAGGACTTAAAAGTTTACATCCCAGGTATAGTGTTCGTCTGTCAAAAATGCATACTTCATTTCTGACTGCTTTTACAGTAGGTGCTTGAGAAATGCATGCAGTATATAAAGAGTAATCTATAATACTGAACTACAGTGAACCGTACCAGAGATCTGTGTCATCCTCTGGCCCACAGCGTCCCACCAACATCTTGATCAACTCACTGGTGTTCAACCTAGAAATAGCACAAAAAAATACAACTATTGCAATTTTAAGAATAAATTCTATAATTAAAAGTTTCAATTAGTTTGCCTTTAAATAACTGATTTTCGGGCAGATTATCTATTTTTTTCATTATATCTTACAGGTACAAGTACTGACCTTGTATATTGGTTTGGGTAACTAAGAAGCGCTGTAATAAATGTAACAACTAAAACCTGTAAAAAAAATAATATGAATAACTAATACAATATTTTTATAAGAATAACACTTTATATACTTTTACTAAAAAAAAATTGATAAATGCACATCTATAAATTTAAAGTGATGCAATTTGATAAAGGAGAATGATTGAAATGAGGCAGGATACACAACAATGCCAGCAGTAATATATCATTTATTTGTATTCCTACAAAACACTTACTTCGACTATTGGATAATTTCCTAATTTTGTGTTTTTTCTGTATCTGCACCATGCAATATTTGCTTTTATAAAGAAGCTTCCGTATAAACCCTGAAATGTATAATGATAAAATTCAATGATAAAATAAACTCAATCAAAAAAATTACCAGGAATCTTAATAAAACAATGCCCTATCTATGATAACTTACCCCTAATACACCAATGAGTACAAAGGGGATTAACTCCTGTATGTACCATGGTTCATTGTATTCCACGTAGAACATGACTAGATGGTCATTCCCGAAGGGATTTATAGACCTCAGAACAAATGCAGCAGCCAAAGCACAGAAGAAGGACCGCCATAAGGTCTTCAGAGGGAAATAATAGCTCACCTGTATAAGAATAGGTAAATATAATTGTATACTGAAAATGTACAAGAATTTTTTAAAACCCTTTACAGTTAAAAAATTATATTTCTCTTTAGAAGTTAATGTGACTGTATATCCTTGATAAATCTAGTAATATCAAAATGAGTAACTTTTCTAGCTTACCTCTTCTAAACTAAATAAAACTCCCCCTATGGGGGCCCCAAAAGCCACACTGACCCCAGCAGCTGATGCAGCTGATAAAATCTGGAAATTAAAAAAAAGACATACGTACTTCCAATCATGATGACTTTGTTAAAAGCTAAAAAAAAATCTGAAATATGAAGACAGATAAAATCTTCATTGATCTTTGTTATATGTAATTTGCTATACACATTGTGGGCATTTCCAAAAAATAAAATGATTGCGAAATATTCACTCACAATTTAGAATTTAAAATCTTTAATGATTTAACAATTTGCACTGTTTAAATGTAAACAGTAATATTAATTTAAACTCTTTCATCAAGCATGATCAAGGGGTATTTCTGATTTTACCTCTCTCTTTTTGGCTTCATTAGTACCATACTTTGGAAATAAATACGAGAATATATTCCCACAACAGCAGGCTACATGTACAAATGGTCCCTCCTTCCCCAGGCTCAGGCCTGCTGACACTGCTAACATCATACCCACAGACTTTGTCAGGAGGGTCCATTTCCCAAGGTAGCCCCTAATGATGAACCCACTCAATATTGTTTTAATCTAAAATTAGAATAGAAATACATGATTATCATTTTACTAACATGACAGTTCTTGAATTTAAATTTTTGCTAAAATTTTGTGTGCTGATTTTCATTTTACTCATCCATTGGATGCTTTATTTCAATGGAATCAATAATCTGCATATGAAACCCAGAATACAACATCCTGAGAATACTGGCCAATCACATTGATTGATTGTTCATCAGTGCGGCATTTGTACTCACCAACAACATGTGGTCAGTCAAAGCCTGTTCTCTGTCCTCAAAAAAGCATGTATTATTTTTGCTATGATTTGACCGGATGGTTTTATATATGTATAAGAAAATTCAGAGAATGGAATGAGTAAGGCTATTCTGCTACTGTTGTACTATGTAGCTATCAATATCATCATTATAAGTTGTAAAACTTGCTTTGTCCGTCCACGTGTAATGGTTGTTTACTGCTAGTACATGTACATGTGATTGCAAAGTAGTTTTGACGATTGGTCAAAAGTATTGTCAGTGGTATTGTTGTATATATCTTCACTCTTTTGTAAAGGTTCATTATGTTTCATATGCACTTTAATTATATTCAAAGAATATATGAAGAGTTTATATCCAAAATGATTCCATTGAAATCAAACATCCAATGATGTAAACTGTAATCAGTAAACATACAGAACAACTATCTAATGGAGAAACATTAAAAGCAATTACTTTTAGATAATTAATTTCCTGATAATGATTGGAAATGATGTATGCATAAACAAAAATGTGTCCTTTCAAGACACTGTTATATATCTAATTAAATGATCAAATGAATAATTTATATCATTTTAATAAACACATTCTTCACACCTTTAAGGTAATCCAAGAGGAGTGTATCTTAATTTTGTTTTAAATAAAATCTTATTATTAGTCAACGATGAGAATTTGATTCAATTTCTGCATGATAAAACTTCAGTTTTTTTAGCACGCCCTGAAATCAAACAGCAAAACGTCACACTGTTTGTAAAACGATAACATATAACAGTTACACAGGTGAGGACACAAAGTTATAAAATAGTGTTATGAAGACAATAAAAAATTGAAATATTAAAAATGCAGAAACTCAGTTTCTTTATACTTCTATATGTGCATGTTATTATGAGCTTCAGACAAAATGTTTTGAGAGTGAAGAACACTGACCTCTGGGATACCAGATCCACAGGCATACGGAGCAAACACCCGCACAAACATGGCAGCTAGCATAGAGAACACAATGGCCCACACCACATAGAGGAGGTATGTCGTGACATAGGACCCAGCCCCAGACCTACTACCTCCAAAGATCTCAGACCATGTCTTCCACTGAAAATAAAAATTTGTCAGTCAGTCTGATAGAAAGACGTAAAAGATGTAGCAAGATATGACATTCTTAGATTTTTATTGTTAATCTTAACCTAAAAAGTTACATTTTTCAACAGTTAAACTGAGCAGTCAAAAATGATATTGAAAAATTGCTTTTCTACAGTTCTAAGGCTAATTTTCTTTTGGACATGTGAATCTATGGAAATAATAATCTCACCTGTTGGCAGTAATCATCTACTTCTGTTTTACTAACAGACCAGCAGCACTGCTCTCTGTTTAACCAAAAAGCCTCAGCACAGATTCCTTCCTTCAGATCTGACATCCATGAGGCACCAATGTCAATAATACCAGCACATAAACCTAAAAATAAGGATTAATGTCAATATAAAAGACCTACAAACAAAGGGATCAATGTCAACAATACCAGCACAATGACCTACAACCAAAGGGATCAATGTCAAAACCAAAGACCTATAAACAAAGAGGTCAATGTCAAAACAAATAAGCTACATGCAAAGGATCAATGTCATTCTAAAGTTATTCAGTTAAAAAAAGTACTGTATACAGGGATATTTTTGCCCCCGTTTTATTTTCGCCCCTTTCACCCTCTCCTTGATTGGACAAATTTAAAACGGGGTATTTCAAATTAGTTTTTCATAATTTCTTCACAATATACCAGGTAATTTTACTGTTAAAAGTGTCACAAGTTCAAAAGGGCGAAAATAACACGGAGCGAAAATAACCCTGTATACAGCATTACAAATAGTTTTTCATGCCTTTATTCACAATATACCAGGTAATTACGGTTAAAAGTGTATCCCATCAATTTAACTTTTACTGACTGGGTTCAGTTCTACATGCATTTTGTGGAACCAAGATCTGAGACAATCTGTTACAATGATAGGCAATGAAGTATTCAGAAGTAGTAAAATTTTACATTGAATAGAACATTTGCAACTAAGTTGAACTAACATTATAATCTGACACATGTCCATTTAATATTTTCATACAGGAGAAAAGCTGTCATATACTTCATTCAAATACCCATAAAACAGCCATTAATAAATACAACAGCCAATTAGATTGGCACCTTACATTAAAAAAGTGAACACATGTTTGAGTGATACATGTGTTGTAATATAAACTTCTGTAAACCTTCGACAGTGAGAGAAATATCTGCCAAAAACCATGTAATATTTTGCTTGGCGTTTTAAGAGAATATGCCTTCCCAGTCAAGAAAATAAATTGTTACAGATTGGCTTTAAACTAATAAATAAAAGATGATGCATAGTTGGATTACAATAAGTCCTCATTATGAAACTGTTTGTTGCAAAACATGTTTTAAGAAATGGGGAGTCTCTTTTACCTGCATAGAATCCCCATTTCAGCAAAACTTGTGTTATTTGTTGCAGAGGTTGGGTTATCTTAATACATCAAATGGATTTGACATTCTATTAAAAATACCTAAACATTCTGTTCCAATGAAATTTTACATGTACCATTTAATTGAGCATCATTGTATGTATTAAAGGCAATAATTTAGTTCTTTTTGCATAAATGCATCCTATCTGCCAGAAAACCTTGTTATACCTACACTGTTATACCAATAAACTTGTTAAGATACAAATCTGGTGCTGATATCTAACTTGCAATGCCAGAATTGTTTTTAATACATGTAAATCATTTTATCATATATAATGATAATAAGGACAAAAGCTGTGAAAAGTAAGAGAAAAGTAAGAGAAAAGTGAGAATTGAAAATTCCCCTGTGAGCTGTACAATCAAAATATCAAGAAGTGTTTTCGGGTAGATTTATATATATATAAAAAACAAACAAACAATTAGCAATCACTTTTTATGAATGCCTAAAAATGACTGACTAAAAGTATATTTGTGATTTAATGGTAATTGAAATAAATAAATGGACATCTGGAGTGAAAATTAGTAAGTTACACATGCTTAGCTTTCAATTCCCTTAGGGTATGAATAGCCATAATGACCCAATAATTTTTGCACACAGTACTTGCTGAAAAGTATCTTGGCAATTATAGCGAGCTATTAAAAGTATGTTTTATATGAGGTAAGCATGTCCATCTGGTATGATTTAACAACCGACTTATAAGTATATATAGATAATATTGATCATTTTCATTAAGCAAGCTGGGGTTTTTATAGTAGTTTTTATACTACTATATGCATGTCAATATATATGTAACATGAACAGTTTACCAATACCTGGCTGTCCTCTTCTTTGATAATCTGTGCTTATAAGACCACAACAATAAGTTGACCAGATTTTGTGGAAATGATACACAGGGAAAAGTGGCTCGCATGATTTTTTGGTTCATTATGACAATGCATCTAAAAATGTTCTCGGTGATAAATTAAAATCCCCTAAAATACAACTTGAAATGAGGGCAGCTATTAGTACATGTACTGGTAGTGGTACTGTATGTGTATTCTTGTTCAGGAACTTTACCTGCAGCAACCCCAACCAATAGAACACAGACCCAGCCTGACCAGGCATCGTGAGCACTCTTTATCTTTTCCCAGATTCCCTCGTTTTTCTTTTTGATGATGTGCCGATGCCGCATGCGGTCTCTGGCAATGTCCCGCAGCCAATCAATGGTGTGGAAATCTTCATATTGACCAATGCCTGGAGGCAGGTCATCCAGTGTGTCCATAAGGTTAGAGGAACCTGTTAAGATAGAAAAAATTCATATGCTAAACACTTATTCATTTTTAATGAAGGTTTGCCCTTATTGTGTGCATTGATAGTTTGACAATCATCTTGTCTGTTCATGTTTACAGTTGAGTTGGGATAATTTTTTATTATACTGGATCTATACATACATCCCAGATTTTTTATATAATGAATTAACATTTCAATTTCTTAGAAGACTTTAACAGACAGAGCATAACTGCACAGACAGGTAACTTTCTTGATTTGTCATGGCAAGTTGATGACATATAAATCACATTTATTTGATGACCTGTACAAAGAAGATTAAATAAGGAAAAATACCTTTAAATGACATTCGACATTTTGAAAAACTCCAAATAATTACCAAATAATTTACCTGACTATCTAGCTCTTTCAAAATACTTTAAACAATCCAAGTTTATTACACAAGTTAACATAAAAAGCCAATGCATCAACATTGTAAGCCTAGCACACACTTTCCCCGATCCATAAAATTTTATCTATGGTAATATTTCCCCGTATCAATTCATAATTTTACTACAGTTACACTGTATAGGCCAGCTGGTTAGGACTAGTGTACACAGTAATGATGGTACATTAATTCAGTCATTATATGGTGGTCCTAAATGCATCGGACATGTGGCCGACATGAGGCCATGTAGATTACGCACCTTACCTGCAACTTCTTTGATAAGTTCATCAGAGAATGTCCTGTAACTCTGCATTGTATTCTCCTGTTTTGAAAGTTACACGACAACATTCAAATAGAAGACAACATTCAAACAGGAGCAGGGGCTGCTTGACATATTATTCTACTGCTACTACAACATGACACCTTGCCATATAAAATGACCACGGGTCATTTAGGATTCCTAACTGCTTCAATATATTGTTAATGCTATTCCATTGCAGGCATTCATTAAAATACAATCATCCTAAGTTACTTTTAAAAAATTGACACTAGTTATATGATTGATCAAGTAGAACGATCTCCAGAAATATTTACAGGTCATTGCAAAATCTCATATCCCCGTAAGATTTAAATGAAATGGAACCGTGGCACTGTACAGGTATGTGTACACCTATTTGTTGGTTTTAAATTTAATTGTTGTACATATCAGCTTTTGTCTTTTATATATATAAGAAATTAAATGGACGTTTTAATGTTATTTTGTGTGTATATGAAATGTATAGAGTTTATTTTCTTTAACTATTAACTACAGTCTACTTGATTTATTTATTTCATCAATTGTTTGGTAGGGGGTTAAACTCTACAATATTCTCAAAATTACCACACTGTATTAATCAAAACAAAGTACATTAAAATGTAAATGCAATTTCTCTCTCAACTCATTTATCAAATATGTAAGAAAAAAAGAATCCATGTGGCATGCCACAGGGCAAAAGTTTGAATATCATAATTATTAATCATTATCTTGTCCTAATAAAAGAAAAAAAAAATAGAAAAGAAAAAAATGGAAAGGTATGCTGTAAGATTAAGAGCTAGAGAGGCTGGGGAGAAACTCACAAAGTATTTTTGCAACTTGGAAAAGTGTGGTTATAACTAATATTTTAAAATAAAACAATTGAAAACTATAAGTGAAGGGAAACTAATATCTATGACCAGAAAGAAATATTAAATGAAGTAAAAATTTTCAACCAAAATCTATATGCAAATAAGAACTCTGAACTTAGACTTAGATCTTGTAAAAACTCAAAATCATGACATTCAAAAGTTAGATCAATATATGCAATTCAGATCCAATTAAAAAAAAATGTATGAAGATGAAATCTTTGATGTTTTTAGCAAAAACATGAAAAACAATAAATAATTCCTCAGGGAGTGATGGATATACAGTTAAATTTTTAAAACTTTTTTTTTGAAAGATCAGCTGAAAAAAAAAACTATTTCAGTCAATAAATAGTTAAATTTCTCCAAAAAAGGAAATCCCTATTTCTTGTACGATTTTTTAAAGATGCCATTAAATTTTCACTTATTCATAATGATCTCCCCTTGAAAGTGGGCAAGCCGCATATGTCCCTTCATTTGAACAAACTTAGATCCCTTTACCAAGGATTCTTTGTGACAATATTGTTTAAACTTAGCCAAGTGGTTCTTGAAAAGTTGAAAAAAGTGCTAAAATTACAGATGACACACATTTACGAAGAACATCAGACACCCTTCAATCAAAAATTTGGCTTAACCAGCTAAAATGGAATGAAATAGATAGATCTCTTGTGGAAGGTTTTGTGTGTAATCTTCGATAAATTGATTACATATATATACACCTAGACTCTTACTTACCGGCGATTTTGTCAATACTGAGGCTGGAAGCCTCATCAAGCAGATCTGACTTGTGTTTAGAAACCGAGTTAAAAAGATCATTGATAAGATCACCGACACGAGACATGGTGGGCAGATCATCTTGGACTGTTTGTTGCTGAACAGTGGAAGACATAAGCACTGGCTGGCTGTATCAGCCCAGACTGAATGTTCTCCATCTATTGGACCAAGACATTGCACCTGTCGCAGATGCCTAACAAACTTCATTAGTGCAGCTCATTGCACATCTTGGCTATTAACACTTTCAAGTACTAAGACCTTTGACAGCATACATGTATAATGGACAGGCTCTTAATTTACAGTCGTACCTCCACTTTGGTGTTTGTCACTTTACACCGTTTTCACTTTACTACTACATTTTGATGCCTTATACTGTTATTTATGTAGTACATAAGGTTATGTGTGCGAAATTGGTAATCAACTGACAGACCATAAAATAATTCCAAAGGCTTTTCAAGAAACAGTTTTTGCAATGATCAGTTATTGCCTACAAACTATAATTATTCACTGTGACCTTTCGAGTGGCCCATAACATTAAATGACAGAGAAGCCATTACTGCCACACAGGAAGTGGGGGTGTAAATGGATGAAACATGTGGCAGCTGGGCTGTGGTAGCTTAATACATGTAGTATAATATTAAGTTGTAAACTATAATTAATTTCAGTTCAAATTGCCAGCATTATATGTAACTTTACTTACATTAACAAAAATTACAAAATGACATAAAAAATCATCTCAATCAAAATGTTAATATTATTTTATATCCATAAACTGAAAGATAAAGACATGATTCATATGCAATAATTATGAGATTAATTGTGACCCAAATTGTGTACTAGCTATGATATCAATTGTCTGAACATCTGCACATTGAAGCATTTAAAAAAAAACACTCTGTACATAGTTAATCATATGACACAGATTTGAAGTTATTAATAATATTACGAATTATATATTTTAATAGCACTTCACACAAAAATTAATTAAAAATCTTATTTCATATAAAAGATATTAAAATTTCAAATTTTTTGGCGGGTTTGATTGACACATCCTTGCACTTTCTCAAATTAATTTTATTCTCAATCCTTAGGAAAAGTGGCAATCTCGTTGTGTATAAATGAAAAAATATTAATACTATAATGCAGAAAATTCAGAGTAGACATGTTCGAAAGCAAAACAAACACACAATATAAGTCCGTGCAGTTGTGGTAAGCACTGTACGGTGAACATGTAAACATCAACAATAACAGAACCTCTGCCCTGTTTACAAAAACTGTGTACATAACACGAGTGTGCTCGATTTGCTAAACTCTGTACGCAACTCTTAGTTTGGAATGACGATACTTGTGAAGGAATTTTGCTTTCAAACATTTCTACTAGGAATGAAATTATTTTTCTGGATAAAAGTTTCAATATTTCTCATTAATACACAACAAGATTGCCACTTTTCCTAAGGATTAAGAATAAGGTTAAAATTTGTGAGAGTGCAATGTTAAGTCAATCAAACCCCCCAAAAAATTTGAAGTTTTAATAACTTTTAAATGAAAAAAGATTTTAAATTAATTTTTATGAGAAATGCTATTAAAATATATAAGTCGTAATAATATAGAGAAAATATTGACTTCAAATCTGTGTCCAAGTACCTTTAAACTTTTGTTTCTGTCATGTATAGATAAAGGGAAATAACTTTTATATTTATAATTAATATTGCTAAAATAAGGGTTACACTTTGGACTTTAAAACATTAAAAAACATAGGTAATCAAAGATTACGAATCTCACCTCGACGAATGTTATCAGTTTAAGTAATGCAAATCCTACATCATATTTTCTTAATATTAAGTATTCATCCCAACAACAATATTCTGTGCAAGTTGTGCTGAACCCTTTACATGGTATATACACATTTCTATGCGTGTAGTGTGAAAAACATGTATTGTGTAAACAAATATTCATAACTGTTAAAATTGCTGATATCAAAAAGTTGGATTTATCTTCCTAAAACTTTAACCTGGTCTCTTGTATGGAAATTAAATGCATAAAGTCTGATAGTGTCCATTAAATGCATTCCATGCAAGTTTGGTTTAGCTAGGGCTTATAGTTACTTTGGAATGAAAATGTAGGTCAGATCCAGCATCCGAAGCAAGCCTGGTAGTGTCCATCCTAAGATACATCATCCATGCAAGTTTGGTTTAGCTAGGGCTTACAGTTAATTGGGAATGAAAAATGTAGGTCAGATCCAGCATCCGAAGCAAGTCTGGTAGTGTCCATCCCTAGATACATTATCCATGCAAGTTTGCTTCAGGTAGGGCTTATAGTTACTTGGGAATGAAAATGTAGGTCAGATCCAGCATCCGAAGCAAGTCTGGAAGTGTCCATCCCTAGATACATCATCTATGCATGTTTGGTCCAAATAGGGCTCATAGTTACTTGGGAATGAAAATGTAGGTCAGATCCAGCATCCGAAGCAAGTCTGGAAGTGTCCATCCCTAGATGCATCATCCATGCAAGTTTGGTTCAGGTAGGGCTTATAGTTACTTGGGAATGAAAATATCCAGCATCCGAAGCAAGTCTGGAGTGTCCATCCCTAGATGCATCATCCATCAAGTTTGCTGTACTTATGTGCTGAATGAAAATGTAGGTCAGATCCAGCATCCGAAGCAAGTCTGGTAGTGTCCATCCCCGATACATCATCCATGCAAGTTTGGTCCAAATAGAGCTCATAGTTCCTTGGGAATGAAAATGTAGGTCAGATCCAGCATCCGAAGCAAGTCTGGTAGTGTCCATCCCTAGATGCAACATCCAAGCAAGTTTGCTTCAGGTAGGGCTTATAGTTACTTGGAAATGAAAATTTTCATCAGCATCCGAAGCAAGTCTTTATCCCTAGATGCATCATATGCAAGTTTGGTTCAGTCTTATAGTTACTTGTAAAATTAAAATATTAGTGTCCATTCCTAGATGCATATCCAAGCAAGTTTGCTTCAGGTAGGGCTTATAGTTACTTGGGAATGAAAATTTCAGATTAATCTGGTAGTGTCCAAGAACAATCCATGCAAGTTTGCTTAATATAGTTACTTGGGAATGAAAATGTAGGTCAGATCCAGCAGAAGCAAGTCAGTGTCCATCCCTAGATACATCATCCATGCCAGTTTGGTCCAAATAGAGCTCATAGTTCCTTGGGAATGAAAATGTAGGTCAGATCCAGCATCTGAAACTAGTAATAACTTTACAATCAAAAAATGCAAGTTTGCTTCAGGTAGGGCTTTTTGGGAATGAAAACTAGATCCAGCAAAGCAAGTCTGTCCAAGAGATGCATCATCCATGCAAGTTTGGTCCAAATAGGGCTTATAGTTCCTGTGGAATGGACCTTCCAAAAACTTTAAAAACAAAATGTAGAATTCAGCATCAGAAGCAAGTCTG